AGCACGAAGCAAATCTCTCTCCCTTTTTTGGGTGTTTTTTGCTTCACACCCATTTTAAAATGCTGGCCACTGGCAGCATATTTACTAACAGTGTCATCTTTAAACATCTTCATTTATGTTCATTTAATCTTTTAAAATCCTCATGACCTTAACAGTTTTTGTTTTAACATACTTTCAAGTCAGTTAACTACCATTACTCTATCTGACACTGGATTTTCTAGGCTTTTTTCCTAAAAATCAAAAATACAGAGAGTCCCAGTAGTGAGAGCCTCTAGCATAAAACTTACTAGCTTTCCATTATCCTGAAGAACTAGAACAATTATTCACATTCTTCAATTCATTTCAGAAGAACTTCAACAAGCCCTGCGATGAGCCTCAAGGATACTTAAACCAAACATGCAAGGTTTGGAGGCTTTTGTGGGGAAACAAATACAAATTGACAATGCAATTTGTACATGTAAAGAAAAGGGAAATACAGAGAATTACTGATGTCCACAGAAGGGGCATCTAACCTTCTACAAGAAATGTCAATACAGACTGCCCTTCTCTTAATAAATTAAACAGCATTCTAGAACCTGGTGAAAATGATGACTTGAAAATATTGACTACTTGGAGCAAGCTAGTATTATTTTACAAACATTATTTCTACTGCAGGACAAGCAGTGAGATCCAATCATGCATGACCTCAAACAAAATCACTGTACCATAAACTAAACTTAAAAAATATAAAATGGGTCTTTGTCTTGGAAATTTATGAACTCTGGGAGCAGGGGGAAACACTATAATATAAACAGAAATTGATGGCTGAATATGATTTGGGATAATAAGACAAACAACATGAGAATAAATAGCAAAGAATATGAAAATCCTAAGAACATAAAGAAGGTCATTAAAAATACAATTGGGAAGATCTAGAAAAATATTTTTTAAAACAGCTTCACTTTGTGCTATTATGCTACCAATAAAATGTAAGATGTTCTTCCTTCTTTAATAACTCAATCCAAAAGCCATTAGGTGAAACTGAGCAAGGTAGAGAAGTATGGGGTGTCAAAGGCCAAGAGAGGTAATATGTAGGTCTCCCCATGGGCCAGTATCAGTGTCAGAGCCTAAGCAGAGTGAGGAGGGTATGTGTGCAGTCTACCAGGAGGTATGGAAGCCTGCATGGAATGAGGAAGGCAATGAGGAGGACTGATCTAATACATTAAATATATTGAGGATGGATTAATCTGATATGTTAAATATATTGAGGATAATGAGAGCCAGGTTTCTCACTGCCTAAGGAAAAAAACATGACTGACCTTTGTGGAGTAGATTGGAATCAAAGGTACCTGCGTGAACTCATTGTTTTCAATATTAATTGATACAAAAATAAATAAGATGTAACTCTGTCCACTGAGAGGGCCTGGGAACAGTGACACCTCAATACCAATGAGCACACCTAAGGCTCAGATCTTGGTTTCTAAATACTATTCTTCACTGAAAGGAAGTAGGACTCCTTGGAGAAAAAGCTGATTTCAAAGCTGGGGCAAAGAAAGAGCAAGATGAACTCTGGACATCTCACTATGCCAGAAACTTAAGTGCTTAAGAATGGTGGGGTCATACCAGAAGAATTGAGAAAATAGCCTAAGGTGGCTCCTGCTATTATAATCTGAGACAATTCAGGCATCCAAAGAAATAACAATACTAATAGCTTATATACACAGAATAAAACATGGACCTATAAGTCCAAACTGATATATACAAAGATAATTTTAAAAACAGGAGAAAAATGCCAGGCGTAGTAGTTCACACCTGTAATCTCAGCACTTTGGGAGGCAGAGGTGGATGGATCACTTGAAGTCAGGAGTTCAAGACCAGCCTGGCCTACATGGTAAAACCCTGTCTCTATTAAAAACACAAAAGTTAGCCAGGCAGGTGTAGTGGTGCACACCTGTAGTCTCAGCTACTTGGGAGGCTGAGGCAGGAGAATAGCTTGAACCCGGGAGGCAAAAGTTGCAGTGAACCAAGATCATGTCACTGCACTCCAGTCTGGGCAACAGAGCAAGAATCCATCACCGGGGGGGAGCGGGGGAAAGAGAAAGATTTTTCTCAGTAGCATGGCAACAGAAATAGAGAAAAGAATGACGAAAATAAAGAAAAGAATGATAAAACTGGAAAATTCTTTGGCAACCATGATAGTAATTATTTCAAAATAAAATGTATATCTAGTATTTAAAAATACGTATAGAGCATGGTAAATTTTGAACAAAGAATAATCCAAGCTTTCATTTCTCAGTACTGTTTGGCCGAAGAAGCATAAAAATTAGGACTCAGGCTCTCTGACTTAATGGCTGGGCTGGGGTAGCTCACTTACTTCTCTGATTCTTAGTTTCCTCACCTGTAAAGTGATACGAACTTAGATTCATAGTTCTAAACTATTAAATTCAACAAATGCTCTTTTTTCAAATAAAATCTTATAAAAGCTGTAATATATATAAAACTCAGATAAATAATGAGATAGAAATCTTCTAAGGAACTTAAATAACAGTTAAAATTGGTATAGTTACTAGAAAATGCCTAGAAACCTGGAGCTTGCAGATTTCAAGAAAAAAAAGACAGGAAAATAGTCATAAAGATTATTTGTTAGAAATCTTAGAGGAAGATTTCTATAAGATGAGTTGATTCAGGAGTTAGTTTTCAAGAGATTATGATCAAGAAATAGAAACAGTTCATTCATTTCATTACATCAAACATAAATAATGACCACTCAAAAAATTTCACTAGAATACTGCCTAGGTATGTGCTTATACTAGAAGTCATAATATACTCATTAAGGAAGAGCAGAGCTGGGAAGGAACTTCTATTGCAGAAGGCAGAAATCCATCTTATAACCGCAAATGATCATCCACCTTTATGGTACGAAACTGAGCACCTCAGAAGGTGCAGAGTGAATCTAGTATGGAGCAGTTAAACGCCTTTTCTAACACTCTTATATTTTATCTGATAAACATTAACTATTCTGTAGAATGCACCACATCAAAAAGCATAACGTAAAAAGAGCACCAACAGATGAGGAAGAAATCTAAATTACCATGTTAAGCAGCAATTTAATTTTGTATTTCGGTATAGTGAAAGAGAAGACATTAAATTATTGAACTTCAAGGATAAAGAAAGAATTGTTCAAGTATCCTGATAGAAAAAGCAACGTGAGAAAATCAGGCTGACTTCAGGTTTTTCAACAATAAAAAAGTCAAAAGAAAATGGAGGGAAAATGGGACCAAAGAGTATCATATTTAGTCAAGTTATTCATGTATTAAAAACAACAAGCAGATATTTTCAAACCTGAAAGAACTCAAAAAATACCCATGCACCATTCTTGGAAGTACTACTTAACAATGAAATACAAGTCATTAAGAACAGTCAAAATAAAGAACTCAGAAGTACACAAACTGTGGTAAAATGACTTCTGTGAGTGCTGAATGCATTCAAATAAAAATAATTTTTAAAGTTAGCATTATGGTTACAAAACAAAAGGTGGATGTGATCAACCTGACAGTGTAAAAGTTATCACACAAAGTTAGGAGGTGGTGGGAAGGGACAGGGATGAACTCTGTGAGTGAGAATAGTTCACCTTTCCTAGGAGGTAAAGGAAGCATGCCTAAACTGGAATGGAGGTGATGAGCAAAAACCCACTGACCAAAGCAACTGAAATCCTTTTCTTAAACTTAGAGGGTTCTTTAAGAACCTTCTTTTAGTGGAAGGAGACAATGGAGGCTTGGAAGGGCAAGAGGGTACGGGGGAATGGATGATGATAAATGCTCAGTGGGTACACTGTACATTATCCGGGTGATGAATACTCTAAATGCCCTGACTTTATCATTATGCAATCTATGCACACAATGAAATTGCACATATACCCCATAACTTTGTGCATATATCCATAACTTTGTATATATTTTTAAAAATACACAAATAACTTTGTACATATACCCCATAACTTTATACATGTATTTTTAAAGAATATACCTCTTGGGCTGGCTGTGATGGCTCATACCTGTAATCTCAGCACTTTGGGAGGCCAAGGCGGGTAGATCACCTCAGGTCAGTTGTTGAAGACCAGCCTGGCCGACATGGCGAAACCCCATCTCTACTAAAAAAAATTCAAAAAAATAGCCGGACGTGGTGGTGGGTGCCTGTAATTCCAGGTACTTGGGAGACTGAGGCAGGAGAATTGCTTGAACCTGGGAGGTGAAGGTTGCAGTGAGCTGAGATCGTGCCACTGCACTCTAGCCTGGGCGAGAGACAGACTCCGTCTTAAAAAATAAAAATAAATTAAAAATAAATAAATAAATAATACACACACACACACACACACACACACACACACACATACACACACACACACACACATATACTTCTTTAAGAGAGGAAAGAAATATATTTGAAATTCAGTCATTCTGTTAGTATGTTAAAGTAAAATGAATTACTTTAAAAATATTTATTGTATGAACCCATTTTTAAAAGTATTTTTGTCTATCTGTCATATATATGCACAGAAAGTATGTCCGGAATGAAGTACCCCTAATGTTAATTACAGTTATTTCTGGGAAGTGGAATTTCAAGGTTTTTTAGAGTTTTCAGTTGTATGCTTCAGTTTGGTATCATCTGCTGGCATCTGGCATCCATGTGTGCTCCTTGAGTCCCAACGCCTCAGAGCACATGGGCAGGAAAGGTGAAAATGCCATTTCCCAGACTCCCATAGGTTCTAGATGCGATTTGAATTCTGCCAATCAGATGCACTAGATTTGGAAGGTGAAAGTGAAGCAAAGGCCACTTTCTAGCTGTTAACAGCCAGAAAACAAGGTCCAACAGACGTATGTGTTTGCAGTGACCATAATCCATATTCCAACGTCTAGTCACTAGCCCTGTAGGTATAAGACAGCCGTGGCAGTGGCAGCAGTGCTACCAGTAAGAGCAGCAGCCTTCTGACCTTAGATGGCAACTTAACACTTACAGTCCACTGGTGGCCTCTGATTTTCACACATCCTGACCTCTCAGGAAGTTTGTAAGAACCGAATTCCCTGAATTAAATCCGTTTTTGCTTAAAACGCCTAAAATGTTTTGCTTCCTACATTGAAAGCTCACTGATGCAGTACTTACTACACTTTGTTTGATTCTTTAAAATTGCATGTGTCATATTTATAGTTGCAAAAACAATAGAATAATTTTAGTTCAAGAAAATAAAAAAGAGAATGGGAGCAACTATAACAAGATGTTCATGCTATTTAATTCTGGATGGTGGGACTATGAAAGTCTGTTATTTTCTCTTTACTTTCCATTCATTTTCCCCAAAATACTTCTATTTTAAAGAAATAAACAGATCGTTTTAATTGTAGAGAAAGAACTAGGGGGAAGCAGGGCTGGAATCAGAAAAATCACTTAGATTGCTGATGAAATAACCCCAAACCACCCTTGCAGCTCACATTATAGCTGGATATTTTTATCCTAATTCTATTTGGTTGAAATGGAAGTAGACAGCCTTTAAATCTGGATGGTCAGCTGTCTCTTTTATTTTCTTTAGATAGAACAGAATATGAATGCCTTCAACCAGTCTAAGATGTCTCTAAATAGGCTGACCTGAATCACTCTAACTTTTCCATTAACCAGATAAAAGTTCAAGGCCAGGGCCAAGGATAGTAAAAGTTATTTTCCAATTTTCATTCTGCTTCAGATGGATAATATTCAGAAAACTGTATTTGTCATTCCTTGTATGAACATATTATTGATCCTTTTTTTTTTTAATTTCTTGGGTAAATGCCTTTATTCCTTCTTGCTATTGAAACATTAAGGTAGTGTTACCCGTAATAATCAATAGTAAAGCTTCATGAAGCTTTTCAAGGTTCTGATACCAGACTTTCCCTAATGATGTTTTTCTGCTCTGAAGTTTGCAACTGATATTTAAGTATTAATATATGAATATTAAGTATTTTAAGTATTAATAAAGTGGAAATATAAACCACATCAGGAAAAAATATTATTTTTAGAAATGTTGTCAAATTCATAATATGAGCAGAATAATGAAGCAGCTTTTAGTTTTTCTAAGCACCATCTAGTCTCTCAAGCACTATGTTACAGAATTTATTAATGGTCTAGTGGAAGAATTATTATAAATATGAGCAATTTGAAAGCACCAAGAAGAATATCCAAACCAAACTGCCAAAAGAAAGTAAATAAACATTATGAAGAAAGAGAAAGTGATGCATAATTCTATATTTTATAAAAGATGGTGAAGAAAATCTTTGAGGGCTTTTATTTAACAGGATAAAAATCTCAGTTATAAATTACCGAAAGAAAAAAAATACACACAGAGACATATTTTACAACATGGAAATAAAAGCCCATAACTTCCAATAACCTATAACTTCTTTCTTATCCTACAGAAATTGGAGTTATAACAAATCATTTTAATTAGCAGAATCAAGCAGCTTTCCTTGGATGAATTATATTGTCACATCTGTAGAAAAAAAAAATCTGAACAGTATGGTTTTTTAAAACCAATATTCTGTTGCTTACATATTCTTGGAAAAGAGCCATAAATTACTTGTGATAAAATAATTACATTCTCAACATTACATATTAAAACATTATGGTCACAAGAAATGGAAACAAAGTAAAAATAGAGCCAACTGTAGACAAAAAAAAAACAGCTAACCCAAACTTGAATAGCAGTAAGATTTCTGGAAAATGAGCAGTAAAAAAGAGAGTTACAATGTTTTCTTACAAAACACTCTCCTGATGTAAATACCATATCTTTCTCCTTCCAGCTCTATGTTGGCGGTTGATTTTCTTTTCTCTCTTCAATTGGTCATTATCCAAAAGGCCAGTACAGAAAGTTTGCATGACAAGAATATGACAGGTAATAGAAAATAAATTACTACTTTAGATCAGCTGCACATACAAATATACATGAAATTTTTCTATATATAATAATTCTTTTATTATTTAAGACAATAAAGAACTGAGCTGTCTCCTATCCAACAAACACAGCAGTCTGTTAACATAGCTGGCAAACAACAAGAGAAATTTTACTTGTCAAGTAATTTTTAAAAACTTAAATTGGTGTCTTGGTGCCTAGAAACTTGTTTTTTTAAAAAAAGTCATAGACGAAATTTTGAGGAATGTATTTACAAAATACGCTTCCACATTATTTACAAACACCATCTGGAGTTTCCAGAAAAAGGCTATAAGAGGATTACACACAACAATCCAAAATGGAAAGTAGAATCACATTGAGAGTGGGCTATATTAAAAAGGAAAAGGCTATTATTGTATGTGACTTAAAGCTTATGGCATTATAACTGCTCAAAACTGTTCTGGCGATTTAGTGCCTTTAAAAATAAAAATAGGAGGGTTCAATTAGAAGCACAGAAATCAAAGATGGAATTAGGTAGCAGTGGCGGAACCAAGGTGACAATGAGCTTGTAAAATGTAGACAGCAGTCTGAAAATAGGAAAGAGTAGGAGGAAGCTGCTGAAACAGGTAGCAGCCAGCGCTTGCCATGGTAACCATGATGACTAGATGAACATCCATCATGACATGAAGCTTAAAAGAATCCCCACCTGCACCTTCCTTAAGTTTCACTTAGTGGCTCCAGCAACCTGTAGACATTAATAAACAACCTTTCAGTAGACTAAATAAGCTAGCAGCAGCAACTGGCACAAGTTGACAAATCTGTTAAGGGCTAAGGTTCAAAGGGACTTCTGAAAGATTTAAGGGAAGAAAATGACAGTCATTTTATGTATAGATTAGCAATGGTTCAAAAATAATGATAGTTGGAAATTCAGCCAAGTCCTGAGTGCACTTTTACACTTAGATCTCATATTCACTGATGTCCTGGGTCCCAAAAGACACACTTTCATGATGAAATAAATATTTTCATTATAAAGTTATTTCACTTTAGAACAGTGAGAAACAATGTGGCAGCATGGCCACCACCAATCTTCTAGCCTCAAAGCACTATTCTACACATATTAACAAACTGGAAGGATTATTACACCTTCAAACACCACTAGAACATTTACACATGAATGTAACAAACTGCAGAACCATAGCTAACACAGGAAAAAGCATGAAACAAACAGAAAGTAAATCGAAGCTCACTTGTAGTTATCTTGTTTAATCTGTATAACAATCCAACCACATGAATCTATTTCAATTTTAAAATTAGGAAACTGAGGTTTTAATATGTTACATAGCTCCCTAACAATTAGTTAAGTATAAGAGGCATAAGGGCCTGTTTGTTGTACAAACTCAATCTCCATTATTACACATTGCCACTCTCATGCTCCATGTGAAGAAAAACCCCACATAATATTTATTTCATGAGTAGCACACAATTTCAAATTCCAATTCTATTTTTCCAAAAACTGTTTTGCTAAATTAAATTATGCATTTATTAGAAGCATGTCTCCAGCTTTTCTTCAACATTATATAATCACACCAGGTAGTGAATAGCTAAAATGTAGACATGTTTCATTAGTCTTTGTAAGTCCAGCACATAAACAGGATCGATATTCAAGTTGTTAGGGGATGAGTGGATACATGGATGGATGGATGGATGGACAGATGGATGTATGAATGAATACAGTATAGACAGTGGCCTCTTTTGATACATCATCTGAGTTAGGAAATAAACAGGTAGGTTATAGCCTGTATGCCAAGGTAAGGCAAGGGTGTCTTTCTTGTCCTTCTTATGTGGATTCTTTCAAGTCATATCTTAAGAGTTATTTTAATATGTCACAGATAAATAAAAAGTTCACAAATATTTCCTTTGTTTAGATAAAATCTAGGTGATTTTCACAACTGAAATTTTATCATCCTCAGGATAGAAATTTTGATAAATGATGTGAAGACCTGACAAAAGATATGAAGCTGTAAGAAAAATAGTGTTTAAAATGGCAAAAATCATATTCTGAAGAATAACTTAATATACCTGAGCCAAATTACTCTTTAAAACAAAACACACATTACCCCAGTAATAATTCTCTATGTCCAAAACACAGCAGTGCAAATAAATCAGCTTCCTTCAACTATTATTGAGTTTTCTACTATGTACCTTAAGACAATGACTATAATTTTATAAATATTTAATTCAAAAACACTTATTTGATCATAATAAGAGTATAAACAGAACTCAGTAAATTTCCTAATTCATCTTTCCTGTTGTAGACAGTCTGACAAAAACACCATGGTAATTTCTACGAGAACTCCCGAAAAAAGTTCCATGAATTCAACGGATACTTCATAGCAGAGTACTGGGAGGAAACGCCAAAGCCATCGTGCAGTTCAGTCCTGCTGGAACGCTATCCTTACTCACACTCCAAGACCCAGCTCAATATGACCTTCTCTGGAAGCCTTCCATATCTGCTCAACAGCGCTCACTATGTCACACAAGAGCACCCACTGTTTTGAATGTGGATTGAAAGAATGTGGATTTGACAGCATGTATCATTAGCATATATATTTGCATGCATGGCTGTATACCATATACAAATGTTCCTCAACTTACAATGGCATTACATCCTCATAAACCTATAGAAAGTTGAAAATATCATAACTGAAAATGCATTTAATACACCTAACCTGCCAAATATCATGGCTTAGCTTAGCCTACTTTACATGTGTTTAGAACACTCACATTTTGCCTACAGGTGGACAAAATCATCTAACATGAAGCCTATTTTACAAAACAGTGTTGGGTATCTCGTATAATTTATCGAGTGCTGTACTGAAACTGAAAAACAGAATGGTTATATGGGCATTTGAAGTATAACTTCTACTAAATGCGTATTGCTTCTTCCACTATAAAGTTAAAAAATCTTAAGTCAAACCATCAAAAGTCAAGGACCATCCGTATATCTACATATAGCTGTCTCTCCCACTATAAAAAAGGACTGCATTCCACTAATTTTCTATCTCCCACACAAAATACACACTATTTTAATAAATGGCAAAGAAAAGAAAAGGAATTAATACACTGCATGCCCTGCTCTAAAATCTTGAGGGTAAACTGAGCAGGACGCTGCTCTACAATTTCATTATTCTTACCAAATAGATAGCAAAAAGAAGGATGAACGTTAACATAGCTAAAATATATCAAAGAATTTCTCAAAACTATATCTATTCCCTTTTTCATTCAACAAACATCATTTAAGCAATTACTATGTAACAGGCAGTGTTCTGGGCACAGGAGACAGGGCAGGGAATAAAAGAGACAAATATCCCTACCTCCATGGAGTTTACCTTCTAATATTAAAAGATGGATTTAGAGAAAATGGTACTATCTAGTGTACTGGATGGTGATCAGTGCTAAGGGGAGAAGTCAAGAAGGAAAGGAAGTTGAGGCATGCCAGGGTGGGGGTGGGGTCTACAATACGGATAGCATCACCAGGGCAGGGCACACTGAGAAGGTGACCTCCAAGGTGAGAAAGGGACTTTTATTAGTTGAAAATCCCTTTTTCTTTTGTTTAAAAACTCACTGGTTAAAAACATTACATTCTATAAGGTGTTAATTATAAACAAAACTCCATATACACCACCCTGTCTAGATTTTCATAATGAGATTTCACAGTCTAGTAAATTTAGAAATGATCTAAAACAGCTAATGGGAAGCTATTGTCTTATGACAGTAGGCAGATCTGTATTTCTTTGCAAAGTAAATATTTTTTTCTTGATCATCACAATTCAAGTTTGTTTTAGATGCTGACTTTATTAATGTGGAACATCATCTATATTCTTTTAATATCAATATAATAATTGACCTCTTTTAAAAACCAATTATGTTCCAGCCACTGTTCTAAATACTCAAATTATTTCATTAAAATCATCACAACAACTCTATGAAGTAGGTATATTTATTATCCAGATTTTAGAGATAAGGCTGGGTTACAGAGATTAAGTAACTTACCCGAACTCAGAGGATAAATAGGACAACTGGGATTTAAGACCAGGCCTTTCTCAAAAAACAAAGTCCATGATCTTAAGCACAATACTATATTGCCTCAAAGATAAGAGCAGTTATATCATACAGCATTTCAAGATGCCTGCTTACTTACTGTTCAAATAAAAACTTAATACAGAAAGTGACCTCCTAACAAAAGTTTTTTCTTCTAATTCAAACATTAAGCAGTATGAACTCAAAGAAGCAAAATACAGCTCCTATTTTTAAAGACCATGTTGAGAATCTATTACATAAACACTGAGTAGTGATGCCAGGGGTCATTACGATAGGGAAAAGGAAATAAAATGTACTGATAAAAGTAAACCACATCCTTCTGTCTCTAAGAATTTCTCTAGTCTCAGGGTTGTTCCTTTTAAATTAAAGCAACATGGCCCTCTCTCACGGGTCCGGGCTACATGGTGGCAACTATACATAGGCATGGGCTAAGACTTCCAAACTTAGTTTGGAGAGAGAGTGAAGTTAACCATTATTATGAACCCAAGCTTATTATAGATCTTTCCAATTGGAAAGAACAAAGCAAAGAAAAATCTGATAAGAAAGGCAAATCAAAATGTGAAAGGAATGGATAGGTTAAAGCCCAGATAGCGCTAGAGGAAGCATCCCAGCAACTGGCTGGAAAAGGGAAAAGAATCAGGGATTTGACTGTGATTCGTTTATTGCAGGAACTATTCAGCTTAGCTCCCAGCATGAGCCTACTGATGTTACTGATAAATTAAATGACTTGAATAGCTCAGTGTCCCAACCAGAATTGAAACGTTTGATATCAAAGTCCGTAAGCCAAGAAAAACAGTTAAAAGGAATGGCAAATCTGGCTCAATTAGAAGCCTTGCACCAGCCAGTTTGTGAGTGGTGGGGAGGACTGTTTTCTCATAAACCAGTTTTGTAAGGTAAGGAAGGATGAATACGTTGAGAAGGAAAACACTTGCACTAGTTACTTGGAAGAGTTCTTTGGCAGGAAAGAAGATACTGGAATGCTAGAAACTGAGCCAATAGAGGATGGGAAGCGTGGGGAGGGAGGAATTGAGGAGGGATTTCTGAACAACAGCGGGGAATTCCTCTTTAACACGCAGCTCGAGCCCACAGGCATCCGCGGTTTCACAGTCCAGCTGGGCCACCACTTAAGTCCATACAGGCCACCTTAACACCTCCTACTATGAAGTCTTCCCCTTAGATTCCTCACAAACATAAAGCAGCATTCTGAAACATCTGAACCAAAACACTCGGCAGACATTTATCTTTGTATTTTTCATGAAATGTGTTTCGTCTTTTTTTATTACTAGTGTTTAAGTCATTTTTTACTTGAATCAGATGGTGTCATTAAGGATTTTATTAGTTCTTGGTTATTAAAATCCAGACTTTCTTTTTCTACATGTGAGATAGTTTTTGTCTTAACTGGCATGTCATTTGCACATAAAAATAAAGAATAGAGCAAAATAATGCAATGCAGGAGGAGACAAAAGAAATGCACTAAGACAAGTAAAGAACATTCTCTCATAGAACAATGATCTGTTTTACAGGAAAGAAATCTTGCCTTGAAATTTACACAGTGAGACTGTACATAATTGCATGAAAATATCTATTTTTAAGACATTTTTCATTCATGAGTAGTTTCAAATTTTTCATACTGTACACATTTCTTAAAACACATGATACGAGCAGCAACTGAAAATGAATGCCAAATTTAGTACACATGTGTTATCTACCTCAAGGTAACAAAAGTATGTGGCAAAACATATACCACCCACAGTGCTTCACAGTATGTACTTTTATTTAGCCAGTGTTTATTGTAGTAAACTATTCTTAATAAGAGTCATTCACTGTTTATAATGTTGTGGTATACATTCTTTATAGTGAAGCGTTAATACATCACATTTGTTTTAGCAATTCGGTATATTTTCTGTATCTAATTATAAAAATTAGTTTTTAAAATTTATTTGCAAATACACTTTTTCCATTTGGCACTATGGTTTGTTGCTTACCTAGCTGAATATATAATGTCAGCTTATCCTAAGGTTTTCCACATACTTAATTTACTGAAGCGTTCATTTTAAATAACATGCTCACTGTGTAAAGGAATTTGTATTTTGAAGATGCTTGATCTGTCTGCAGATAAAAATTAGTTAGAAATTACCTTAGTATAAAATGCTCCTAGAAGTCTTAATTATGTTTATTTTTTTAAGAAAATGAATGTTAGACTTGTGTGCATGGAAGTAATTAAGGTACATCATTATTGTAGTTTAAAGCTGTACATGATAAGACATTTTGTTTTCACTGTATATTTTTATAAATGATCTATTCCCCATCCCAAGGCAAGCATGAATAACAAATCTTAGGTTAAATGTAGTATGTGGCATTGCAGTCTCTTAGAATTTGTTCCATCTATTTTATTTTATTGAATACTCTCTGTATCTTCGGTTGTCCTGTTTGAAGAAAAAGGACAAATAAACCATGGCCAGCAAAAAAAACCCAAAAAAACAAAAAAACAAACAAACAAAAAAAAACACTGAAGATTAAGAGGTAATATAAAGCGTTGACGTCAGCACACACAATCATATCTATTTGTCATTTCAAGCTTTAAGATCTTTCTGGGATAACAGACATTTTTCTGTGACCTGAACAGATTATCTCAAAGCCAAATATGTACTTGGTGAGGAGGGAAAAATGATCTTCTTAAATTAAATCAGTAATTCTGTGTTCTATCTTGAAATTCTTTTTTAAGTGTGTTGAAAATTAAAGCAGAAACTAGTATGTATTTTTACAGAAGAGATTTTCGGGTATACTATTCTGACTTGATATACTATTCTCTTTTGATAGGTTCCAAACTGATGGATTTCAACTGAAATATTGGTTTTCCTTGAAAAGCATAGAAATTAATAATATTTTTCTTTTAAAATAGTTTAACACGCATTTGATTCTCATTATTTGCAGTAGTTATGTTCAATAAAGTCACTACAACTCCGGATTAACTGATATTGAACCACTGTCCCTATGGGAAATACTAGGTTTAGGTTCCTGCAAACCTCTGGTCACAAAATCTTTGTCAATTAATCAACATATAATTTCATTTTATGTGTGCTTCCATTTAAAGAATATGTGTGTATACATATACATTAACAGAATATATATGACACATATCACATGTTATATAAGTTATATTCTTAATAAAACATACACATAAATTCTTTAAACAGAATGTAAGTAGACTTGATTCATTAACACTATAGCTCATGCCTGAAGGAAGCCTGCCTAATACACATATTTTTTCAATAATATATATCATAAAACCTTTTGCTTTTAGGAAAATCAGACAGCACTTCAGCACAGGGGGTCTCTGTAAACAGTGACATCATCAACAAAAAGTACAAAAATGCAAAAAGCATGTCCTGAAAGGGCGCTTGTTTATTGCATGAGAGCTGAAACAAGAAGACAGAGCACAGAAGGTTCCACCTTAGCTGTGAATGTGCACATTGGGCAACTCCAATGTTTCGCATGTGAAAAATCACACTTTATGCATGTCCGCAAATGACTGTGGAAGCACCACAAGTATTGATTTTGGAGTCACAAATAAATGTTAGTGAGTAGGCAAATTAGCAAACACTGAAACCATGAATAAGGAAGATCAACAGGATAAAATGTTAAGTATGTACATGTACTGGTTTTTGTGATGTACAAATATGCCAAATGTGGTGCTGTGTTCAATAATGTCAGCAAATCGCAGTAAAGATTGCCTGACACCTGAAAATGTGACCTTTCACTTCACAGTAACCTATGAGAATTGCCCTCCAGTTCAAGGCTGAATAATGTCCCATTACATGTGTGTACCACATTTTGTTTATCCATTCATCCATCAACGAACACTTGGATTGCTTCTACTTTTTGGCTCCTATGAATAATGCTGCTGTGAACATGATGTAGAACTGCTTCATAATTCTATTGTTTTCAGCTGGGCGTGGTGGTTTATGCCTGTAATTCCAGCACTTTGGGAGGCTGTGGCAGGTGGATCATTTGAGATCAGGAGTGACCAGCCTGGCCAACATGATGAAACCCCATCTCCACTAAAAATACAAGAATATTAGCCAGGCATTGTGGTGGGTGACTGTAATCCCAGCTACTAGGGTGGTTGAGGCAGGAAAATCACGTGAACCCGGGAGGCAGAGGTTACAGTGAGCTGAGATCACACCACAGCACTCCAGCCTGGGTCACAGAAGGAGACTGTCTTAAAAAGTAACAATAATAATAATAATTTTAATGTTTTCTATATCACATGATCACATTGTTTATGTTAAAGAGTACATCAAGCTCCCAAGCTTTATCAGCTTACAGATAAACATGGGATTATAATGATAACAATAATCCACACTTTACTACTGGCTATTTCCCTTATTTACTCAGATGGGACCCTGGCCTCCTTCCTCACCCAAATATTTCCTAGAGTATGCTCATTCACCTCTCCCTTCAACTACCCCCACTCCACCACTGTACAGGAAAGTCAAGTTCCTGTGATTCACCTGTTCACTCCAGACCCTCAATTACTCCATACACGCTGGGACCTTAAGGCAATAATGCCATAAAGCGATTCTCTCCTCTCCCTTCATTACATCTACTCTCTTGTTCCATAGCAAAGGAGAATGAAGGGGTTGACCCAACAGGCCAGGGTGCTGCCTTTTTAAGAAGTGAAAGAGTAAGTAAGACCACAAATACTCAAATGGTAATAATTTAGAATTGTTGCGACATACACGAATGATGATAAGGTAGAAGTGTTTATTGCCAAGGGAAGGTTGAATTTCCTTCAACACTCTTCCTTTCCTACTATGGAATTGTAACTAGATCTCTGATAAAAGCTCTATCTACTTAGATGATACTCAATTTACAAAAAGGTTTACAAACAGTTCTGGTTTCTAGCTTGTCCAAGACAGAACAAGCGTGAGAATTCTTTAACCGTGACTGGAAGATTTCACTAGCTCCTCATTCACTCACATCCTTCTGACGTTCAGAGGTGCCCTATTGGAAAAAGTGCCCTTCAGGTCAAGATTCCAGAATACACAGTTAACATTTACTAGCACTTACTGTATGCCAGGCTGAAGGCTTTATCTCCTTAATCCTCAGAATACCCTTAACAGTGTTGACATATGAGGAAAGGTAGGGTTTGGAGAAGTTCTATAACTTGCCCAATAGGAACTTTAACTGGGACTCACGTTCTTTAATGCATTTCAGGGTTTCACTTGTATATTAAAAAAAAAAAAAAATTCCAAACCAAATTTATTTCTTTCTTTGGGAAACTTTCTTTTTCGTGTTCTAAGTAAAATAGTCTTTGTATTTTACTAAAGACGGCCCACAGCTGTGCATACATGAGCTAGAGATTTTCCCCAGCAAAACCTGTTGTTAATGCATCTCTAAAGCATATTTTAAATCATTAAAATACATAGTTTATTTTAGTACTCTTTCTTTTCTCTTTCCTTTTTTAAATTTGAATGCAGTCACAGTGGCTCATGCCTGTAATCCCAGCATTTTGGGATGCCAAGGCAGGCAGATCACGAGGTCAGGTCTTCAAGACCAGCCTGGCCAACACGGTGAAACACTGACTCTACTAAAAATTAGCTGGGCATGGTGGTGCATGCCTGTAGTCCCAGCTACTTGGGAGCCTGAGGCAGGAAGATCGTTTGAACCTGGGACCGGGAGGTTGCAGTGAGCCAAGATCGCGCCACTGCACTCCAGCCTGGTGACAGAGCAAGACTTCATCTCAAAAAAAAAAAAAAAAAAAAAAAAATCTGAATGATTAAACTTTAATTTTTGGACTTAACCTTTGCCAACAGTCTTCTCTTCCTTCCTACCTCAGCTGCTCAAACCCATGGTTACTCCCGAGGACCTGACTCAAGACCTCACTCTTCATCCAACATCACTTCCAAAGCTTGTCACTGTATCCACCCACGCTCTCCCTGGCATACACAGACAAACCACAACAGTGCTTTGATCCTGTCCTCCACTTCCTGTGCTCCACTGCACCCAGGCAGCTGATCATGATCCCACACCAGGATGACAGTGCTTATAGTCCTGGTCACCCCCTCAGGTGTGCCCTAAATGCAACCTAATATTTACACTGCTGCATTTCTCTAGCCCATGCCCTTTCCCATTCCCCTGCTCAAGCATTTCCTACCTTTCTTCTAGCCTCCGACCTCCATACCCTCTCCCCCTTCATTCTCAGCTGACGACATAGCTTCATATTCCCCTGAGAAAATCAAAAGAATCAGAAAATAATTTCTAAAAGTGCCAATCTTTGCCCCTACTGCCTATTATGGATAAACTGACTTGTAAGGAAAAACAGACCCGCTCCTGAAACCCAGCTCCTCACGCCATCTCACATATACAAGGGCATTGCTCCAGTAATTCTCCTCTCTTTTTCTGCATCATTTAATCCCTTCTCTCAACTGGATTATTCTCCTCAGCCCACAGTCTCTTTCTCCTAAAAAAGCCATTTCCTTTTTTTTTTTTTTAAAAAAAAAAAAAAAAAAAAAGCTTTACCTTGACTCCAACCCCCTCCAGCCATTGCTTCATTTCCCTCCTCTCGTTTAAAGGGTTTGTTTTAGATGCTGATTTTATTTTAAAGCTCAAACTTGCTAATGGATTGGCAATGGTACTCTTTTAATATTAATATGATAACTAGCATCTATTAAGGGCTAATTATGTGCTAACCACTGCGCTAAACTGTCAAGGAAATTGTCACAGCAACCTCTCTGCTGTTCCCCATCTCTTTTTTTCCTGCTGCTCACTTTGCCCTCACTCCCTTCCTTCCAGCTGGAATGTGTCAGCTGTTCTGGGAGTGCTCATTCCTGGAATGTGTCAGGTGTGTCTCTTCCTCAAAAAAAAAAAAAATAGGTCCAGATACATTGTCCTACCAGGATTTTCAAGTGTTCCCAACCTTTTGCAAGGAAGGGTCCATGAGGTCAAAACACCATTTTCACAATAATCCTAAAACCTACACGGCTTTTAATATTCGGCAATGCAGTCAGAAAGCTCTACAGACACATTTTTTAAACTTGAATGTAGAACCATTTTATCAGTTTTTATGAGAGCTGCCAAGAAATACCAGATTTTTCTTCCCATAATAGCTAAGAACTATCACTCGATCCCCTTGTATCAACTACACCTGAGTAAATAAGTAAAAACAGCAGATAACCTGAGGTTCTGCACTTAAAAGTATTTCAGCAGATGCTTGGTTTAACCAGAGAACTGTTTAAAGTATTCAATCTTCAAAAATAATTTGGATTTTATGCCTGGAGTTAGCAGTAACTAAAACTGCCTTAATTACATCTCCTACAGAACTACTGTCACACAAAGTTGAAGTCTGAATTACGTCTGGATCTCACAAGGGAGGACATCATAAGGACACCTCCCAAGTGGATGGAGGTGTGGGGAACATGTACTGCAGCCCTCACTCCCACCCACATCAAAGACTGATGGAACACATGTCTTTGGTTCCCCCAAGAAAAGCTACAAAAGCTTTTCCCCCTTAAAATCTAGGGTATTTTTTTTTTTTTTTGACACTGGTAATACAATTGTATAACTGGTCTTGTTGCTCTGGCTACCTGGGATCAAATTTACAACTCATCTCTAGCTGTGCAAGACACCCCACTCTATGTATCAGCCTTCTAACCTTCCTCCTGTCCTCCTAATTTCATAGTTCTCTAGCCCTATTTTACCTAAGCTTAATACACAGTGTGGAATATAAACCATTTTGAGTATGTTGAAAAATGCGGGGAAATAATGGTATATAGTAAATAAAAATAAATCAAACAGAAGTAGGAAAAGGGAGATATCTGTAACATTTGGATGGATAAAAATGCCTGCCTTACAGTGGGAACAGAGAAGCATTTTGCATGACTGCACAGAGAACGACAGTGACAGAGAACACAACTGGAATACCATGGCATTGGTTCTGCCTAGGGTGCTTTGAGTCCAGATGTCTGCATAGATAGCTTCTGTCATTTCACTAAGATCTCTGTTCAAATATTACCTTATCAAAGAGTCTATCCTGGTCAATTCAACCAAAATATTCACACACACACACACACACACACACACACACACACACACAGCTCTCCTTCTCCTTTTACCCTGCTTTATCTTCCTTCATTATGCTTATGAACACCAGCTATATGATAAAACTGTGTCTGTTTGTGTGTTAATTAACTTCTCCCTTGATAGACTATAAGCTCTGTAACAGCGGGGCTTTTATGTTCTTTTACCATCCCAGAACCTAGAATAGAACTCAATAAAAATTGGTTGAATGAATAGAAAGGTCATTTAGTATCAAATTAGGAAAGACTAATTTAGACTTTATCCACCAGTAATGGGCAATGTCTAAGAGCTTATGCAAAATGTATTATGTATCATATTTCTCTTTTATAAAGATAACTCTGGCAGTGGAGTAGAGTATGAAGAAGAGAGGAAATACATGGCAAAAATCCAAATGACAGATAATAAAGGTTAAATGAAGTTAAGGAAAGCAGCAAATGGAAAGGGAGAAATGAATTCATGAGAGATTCATGCAGCAAAGGGACAGTATATCATAATGACACAGGAGTTAAGAAGGAATTACTTAGACAGATAGCAAATGTATGGGAGTCCTCAGTAAGGCTTTTCTTTTTAATGAAAAGCAGCCCCAAAGCATTTTCTAATAAAGAGCAGCCTATAAGCTGGGAGCTTGCATGGGTGAATGCCAGCAGGAACTAAGGACTAGACATTTTCAAGATGGCAGTTCCATCTTCCCTTCTCTGCCAGCCACGTGTATTGTAAGGAGCAGACAAGATGGCACAGAGCAACTGGAAAGCCCAGTTGCATAAGATTAGGGTGGGGCAACCAGCCTTCCACATGTGCTATGTAAACATCATACGTGACTGAACCAGTCTGTGAGCCCCAAGTAAATCAGATACCACCTCCTCAAATTAGACTGTAAAACTCGGTACATTTGCCACAAGCCGGTCCTTTCTGCTAGGAGACCCCTTCCTCTGTGGAAGA